GTAGTAGTAGTAGTAGTAGTAGTAGTAGTAGTAGTAGTAGTAGTAGTCGCAGTACGATTCTCCCTGATGCCCATCAGCTGGCAGTTGGCTTGGAAGGCGCCTGAGTCAACTGAAATCTTTTCACACATCCACTACTTCTTGGTCCGCCTCCCTCTTACCGACCTGGCTTTCCCCGGCCGACCGGCCCATCCCGGTCTCTTCACGCGGCGTTTTCAGGATCTGCAGGCCGACAGCGAGCGGATCATGGACTTGCTGCGCTCCATGGAGGGCCAACTGAGCCCCGAGGTGGCCGCCAAGCTGGGCATCGAAATCACCTCAGAGGACCGACCGGTCGACACCGGTCGTTTCGCTAGGTCCAGAACCGGTGGAGCTGGCCTTCCGGGATGGGGACCGGTTGGGAAGAAAGGCCGAGTGAGTGGAGGGACCTTCGATCCGAACTGCCACCCATCTTTGCACTTCGATCCGTGTGCGATGTTCCAAAAGCCTTGGGCGTCTGTAGAGGACATTGCGAAGATCCTTGGGCTCACGAGTTCTCATGGACATGTCATGGACTTGGAAGAGACTAAGCTGCAGGCTCTTCAGCCAAGGGACCTGTGGAGCTGGACACATGTGGGGACTGGACTGAGAGAGAGGCCATCGCTTGAACAATGTGTTCAGAGTTGGTGTGAAGGGCAGCTTTGCGACAGGAACACCTTTAATCACTGTGTGGCATGACTCGACAGTCATAAATAGAGAGAGAGAGAGGCCATCGCTACTATTCGCTACTAGTTTTCATTGTCATCACGTCTCACTCGTAGAAGCTCCAGCTCCGTATGAAAGCAGTGGCTTCGGTGCGGGCTTGTTTCAGAACTCCTCGCTCCAATTAAAGCCACTTTGTGCGACCTCGGTAAAGAATTAAGCATCACTTGGGATTTGAGCCAACAGTCTTGTCGCCCATTCCGTCTGTCAATTGGATGATCTCTGTTTTGGAACGCTCGAATCCCGATATACTGTAACTTTTTGATGGTATCAAATCCGATGTTTGAGTCGACTGCAGCGATTTTTCGCTCCAACCATCACCATTGGGCCAGGACGGCTAGAACGGCTATTTCTTCCACTAGGGCTGAGGACCCACATCTGGCAAAACCCTTCCTTTCTTCCGACCAGCCAGGTTTTGGGGTCTCGTCTTTTGATGAATCCTTTCCAGATCTACTTCCTATGAGTGTCGTTCTTCAGACCAAGTCCACCGCCAGCACACATCAGGATCACCGACCATCTGATGGGACCGAAACGTCGTGATCTCCTTCGCACGCGGGCGAAACCTTCTCCTAGGGCCTGAGGTGAAGGGGTGTTCAATAACTCCTTGGAGGTGAATGGGTGTCAAAAAAACCACCCCTAGGATAGGGGGCCCTGGTCTGTTCTTGTTTAATTGATGACTCATCTACCAAAGGTTGCGACTTGGTTCTTTTCTTCCAAGAGTCACTTCGTCTCACGCCCTCAAGCAACACCCTGGTAGATTCACGTAGCGAACACCGGCGGACATTCCAACATCGGCAGTACGCACCTTCTCGACATCGGCATGCACCTTGTCGGGGCGAAATCCTGCTTGGCTGCCAAGGATAAGAACAAGAATGCCTTCCAAGGAGACATGGTTCCTGAGGATACCAAGCAGCTCAAGGAAAACGGTTTCGTGCGCGCGGTGCGCGCCGTGCCTTTCGTGTACGTGCTCGAGCATTGTGCCTTTTTGGATGCCAAAGTGTGGGAGGTTCGAGAGTACAGAGAAAGATTGCATTGTCCATGTTTTGCGGCTCTTTTGCTTCATGGCTGCATTGGCTCATTTGGGGAATGGGGTGACATACGCATGCTGTTCTCCGAGAAAAGGAGCCAAGAAAGAGCCAAGAAATGATGATGCATAGCACAAAAACAACATACTATTTGTAGTGCTGATGTTGCAACCGTTCTAGTTCTGCATCGCCAGCATTATTGCTTGACAACACAGCCCTTTTCCCAGGCTTGCGCCCGCATCAAGACCCTTCAGCGTGTGTGTATAAATGCTTGGCTGACAGCTGAACATTGGCTGGCTGGGTTATGTGTTTGTGTTTTTTGAGCTGTTTCCGCAGTTGTGTTTTTTCTTTCTTTTCAGAGGGGTTGACCGTCCTGCGCCATTCTCCAGGGCTTTGTGGAGAATGCCGAGCAGCAGGTGCAGCGGAAGCAGCGGGGGAGCTTTGGTGCTGGAAAGCCCTGGAAGGAGCCGATCTGCCGCGACGCGGGTCGAGTCCTGGCTTGGCGCTTCGTGAACGAAGCCCAGGGGGCGACCGAGCAAGCACAGACGGTGGCTCGGGTGGGGAGGTGCTTTTTGCTATCTTTGGGTCGGACGGTGCACCGCCTCGGGGGCCCGGGGGTAACCGCGTCCGGGGGGGAGGAGGGGAGATGACTAGTGAGTTGGAGGTTG